TATATATATATATATATATATATATATATATATGTGTATATGTTTTTTTTTTAGATATCATCCCCTTCATCCTCTTCCAGCAGATGTAGCAGAAATGACTGGCTTGTCGGGCTTGAAGAATTGTTTAATTTCAGGGCCCTGGCGTTTCCTGAGGTGAAGTCTGCATTGGCTGCTAATAGAGATCTAATTGATGGGCCGAGTCCCGTTTCCGTGCTCTCTCTCCTTTTATTGCGCCCTGGCGTCTGCTGTAAAATAGGTCTGTAATCAGATTCCGCCTATTCCTCCTGGAGCTGGATGAGAGCTCAGGGCTGCACAGAAAGACAGAGATGGGGGCCAAAAAGAAAGCAAAGAGGAGAGAAAGAAATCATTATTAAAAAAGTTAAGCCATGAGAAGAAATGCAACATACTGGTGAGACTTGATGAAAAAACGGGGAAGCCCACTAAAGAAAACATACTGTGCTCTTTGTTAGATTTTCTGCTCTTTAAATAAACCTGCTATTTATACTAAATGTTACAGTGTGGGTTTAGCACTCTATAATGATTAGTTTAACTTCATTCCTTTAAGGATTTATTGGTTTGCATTTTCATATAATTTTCCATAAATGAAATCCTACAGCTTATTATAAATCAATATAGATATAACGTAAATCCCTTTATTGTCCCACAATGGGGTAAATTTGTTATCTGCATTTTGACCCATCCCATTGGGGAGCAGTAGGCTGCCATTGTGTGGCACCCAGGGAGCAAACAGGACTTAAGGTTTTGCTCTGGGACCCAGAGTAGAGGCTGCGGGGATCGAATGATGCTAGAGCCATTCGTTTCTCAACATACCATGTACCAGTTGACCTAAAAATCCTCCATCTTTCAAGCCTTTAAATCATATTCCTGACACTCTTTTCCTCAGGCATAATGTGCACATATAGACCCCTTCTGGTGCTCAGGCACTCGCCCTTTTGTCCTGGGTGAGAGATTATTCTGCTGGAGCCTACTTTTATTCTTGTGCCTTCCACATCCCTTCTCCTCCTACACTTAGCCCTCATGCAGTCTTTACCTGTTGCAGCTACATGTCACCACTTCAGACAAGACAAGTAATACAGTACAGTGTTTGTGGGATCACCAATAGTGTTGGGTGCAAATTTAATCACACATTATAGTTCTGCTTATTATATGGTCTCTGGCTTGATGTTTGCTATAAAGAAAAGGGAGTTCACCTTTTCCTGCTAAGAGTATGCATAATAGGGATGGACCCATACTGGTATGGGTACCAATGTCAAGTAGTCATTACTGTACTTGTACTTGTAAAAACAACCTGATACTCTGAATTGATACCATTTTTATATTTTATATTTTAAGGTCACAGTATCAAGACAGTTAAGTTAATCCTAGCTGCAGCTGTCAAGATGCCCTTTCTGGTCGGAAAAAAAGCCCACCAACTGCAACTAAACTGTGCTGGATGCAGTGTACAAGTCTGAATTTATCAGCTTAGCATTTAGGAAATAAGATAAAAACTTTTAAATTTGACAATGCTTTTTTTAGCACATTCATCAGTAATTGGAATCACAAGTACTTAAATGTCAGTACTTGTACTCATAAGCAATTAGAAGGAATCTGGTATCAGGACATCCCGAATGCATAATGCAGGGTCTGTAAGTTTGGTACTTAAGAAATCTTTGATTCCAAACCACTCTGTGGCTGTATTTGTGCATTTTGAGAGATTGAGATCAAGGAGAGTGTTTCTGTGAAAGACCTACTTGAGCAGTTTAAGCTCCCTTCACTCCTTTGGTGAGCCTCACCTGTTAAGACCAGAATAATTGATGCTTCACTTTTTTATTCACAACAGAGATTTTATTCACTTTTAAATCATTATCTTATATGTTATCTGTTTTTCCTAAACAGCATGCACAATACAGCCTTCTGCTATTTGCTTTTACCAGTTTTTTATCTATTTTATTTAATCATTTGAGTTGCCCTATTTGATTAAACCTATTGATAACTTTACACCCTTAAGTTAAATATATTAGCATTTTTCATTTTCATTTCTTTAATAACATTTGTAATAACTGCCTTTTTTAACTTGAGCATCTACACCCAAAAACTGCATGTGTACCTGCTCCACTAAGACTAAGAATATCATTAAAAAGAGGAGTTAAAGACCTACATAACTAGCCTGATCTGGCTAATATGGGATTTTATGACCATCTCCAAACAGAGTAAAACTGTACAGATTATCCACATAATTTGTTGAATGATAATTGGTTTCCCCACCTGTTTTTCACCCTTGAAAATGAAACTGTGTTGGTGGCTGCAGATCCCTGCCTGTTACCTGTGACCTCCAACCACATGAACAAAGATTCCCACAGAGGAGTGCAGCTGAAGCACTGGTTATCCAATTTTACAACGTTAAAAAGCAAAGTAGGAAGCTTAGAAAGCAGAACAACTTATTCTCTACATTTCATATTCACAGTTATAGGAAACAAAATCTTAAATGACTTGAATGACTCAATCCCCAAAAACTCCTTGAGGCTAAATCTTTGACACAATATCTTATTTAAGTCACATCAGCATGATATTCAGTTGGAAAATGCAATCATTTTAGCAGTTATTGCAGCCACACACAATTCTGCTGTGTATATTAAGTGGGATGAAGTAAAACAAGAAATAATGAGAAGAAAATAAAAGAAAAGAGATCCAGAATACCATATAAGAAATATTAGAAAGAAGGACAAAATACACACAACAGAAAACAAAGTCAGTGTGGGTTTAAGCATTACAAAATAATGTCCATAAAAGTTTCACAGATGGATAAATTTCTCATCCCTGAAATGACATTACCTGCAGGGGCAATCAATCTTTACTATTAGAGCAACAGCAGAGTGCTAAATCATCATCTACAAACTGAGGTACAGATGTAGAGAAATGCTGTGTACTTATGTGCACAAACAATCAAAGAGTTTAGAGGCTCTTATTGTCTTTATGTCCAGATTTTAACAATATTTTTTTTGAGGAGCTTGTCTTATAAACTAATTTAATGTCAAAGAATTATAAAAATAAATCTTTTGATTTGAGTTTCCCGCCTGTTTTCTCATGAAGATCATTTAATAAAAATCTGTAACTAGGGTCTACAGACATCTACTCAATTGTTGGCACACGTATTTAAAACTAAGCTGACTGTGTTGGATAAGATATAAAGGAAAGGTTTCTGATCTATTGAGATTAAATTACGATATTGACAGGCGTTAGTGGTCTGACCAAATTGGAGGCAGCTGTTATTGTGGTTTTAGAATGATGCTTCAACCAACCCAGATTTGAAAATGCCTGACCTGTTCTAACAATCAAATGATCATATAAATGAACACATGTAAAACAACAATAAACAACTGTAAAAATATTGTGTAACTGCAACCAAAACTGGAGTGGCACTAAAATATTTTAAGACACAATTGATCAAAGAGTAATTCAAGCAGAGACTCAGCATTTTGCTACACCTTGCAATCAACATAGAATAGGTGGTTTGAAATTGAGCTACCGACATCCATGATCAGGGGTCTGCAACCTGCAGCTCCTAAGCCAGTCGTGGCTCTTAGGATTTTAAAGGTCCATGTGCATCATTGGATACCATGAATCCATATTCACAATAAGCTGTACAGGGTAATAGAGAACTGTGAAAAGAGTGAAATGTAGAGCAAGCACAGACAGTAGCTGTTTGCATTATGTCGCACTATGAGCAGAAGCATCATATCATCCTTCAGTGATGAAGAATATATTCTGATAGATACCTTTATAAACAGAATTCTGTCAGAAATTATAAAGATTATCACGCAAAATAACTTTCCTTGTATTTAAAGAACGTAAGGGACCTAGCCACCAGCTATGCTTATAAAAAAAGCATAAAAAACAAAATTGCATGTTCAAATATAGCAATATAACTAAGCAATCATCTAGAAAGTGTTAACTTAGTCCTTTTTAAGCTTTGAAAGGGTTTTTGCACTGGGCAGGATCAGCAGAAAGAAACTTTATACCCCATCTGTTGGGAGTAAATACCTAATATCCATAGGCTAATCAACATCGGAAGCTTTAGCACATACTTCAGTAAACTCTAATGTTAATACTGCATTTAGAGCACTCCTCTTATCTCTCTCGCTAAAGCGGGATTAGTACTTAAGTCTGCGATCATTTGGAGCAAAAAAAAAAAAAGAATACTGTTCAAATGATAATTGCTCTTCGATTGGTTTAAAGTGACTTATATTCAATGACACTGGGGGGAAAGTTAAGGTTTTAAACAGAATATGTTATTTTACTGCACTTTAACAAAGATAAAGTACTTGTAATACCTAATATGCTAATAGCAATCTTTTTAAATGAAACTGGGTTTCTGGAGATCGTCACAAGACTCCTGACACAAACTTTGTAATAACTGCATTTACTCACGCAGCAATCAGACCCATAAACCTTTATATCTGGTTGGATAATATAAAGAAATATAAACTCTGTGAGGAAATAAAAGTACATAATGTATTTGTCCTATTAACAAATTTGTGTTTTGCTTTAAGTTCTGGCTTTAATAGAAAAATGTGTGTTGATGATATGTGTTGAAGCCACAGAGTGATAAGCTTCTTGACTGGGATATGCGATTAGTGTGAGAGATTGTTTTTTTTCATAAATACATTTTTTTTTTTTCAGCGAAGTTTCACTTCATATAAGGTCATGTTTATCTTGTGTATTAACATACGTCAATCACTTTATAAAATGTCTTCCCTTATGCTACTTTCTTATGTTAATTTTGGTACATTTTTGTGCAAATATTTGTTTCATGCCCAAGAAATAAATAAAATGTATTATTTGGTTCTTTATAATTTCATTCCCAACCAAATCAAATGGCTCACAAGTTAAACTATACTATTGTTATCATGTATCCATGCTGCAGAAAATGTCAGTCAAATCTGAATGACACAAACTGATCCTCTATTTTCCCTCTCTCTCCTCTGTTTTTCTCCCCTTAGCTATAGCTTCCTGGAAGGCTGTGATTGGCCGGCTGTCTGGGTGTGATAGCAGCCCTGGAGCCGAGAATGATTGATGACGGCGGGGGCAAGGCCGAGCGCTGGGAGCATAAAGCTCCATAGACGCCTCAATAAAGAGCCTGGCCAGTGGAGAGCCTGGGCCCCTCCGCCTCTGAGGACCCACGGCTAGAGGAGTGCATGAAGGGAGGCAGAGGAAGAGAGGGAAAAGGAAAGGTGCTCTGTTGTCGGATAATCTGTTTAGCTGTCGAGCAGCAGCCGTCTGAGGCTGGATAAGTGCAGCGACGGATGTGTGTGGGGTGAAAATAGCAGGGGTTGGCTGGTGGAGAGCTGGAGGGGGAGAAAGAGGCAGAGACGGGGGTGGGGGCGATGCATAATGGGAAAAATAAGGGAAGAAGATGAAGCAGATTGGAAATGGGAGATGCAAGCTGGCTGTTTACGCATGCTAGGAATGATCAACTAGCCAAAAAAGTTGACCACAAAAAGTCAGTGGTGATGCTACCCCTCGCATCTCAACTCTGGTGGTCATGAGTCAGCCAGGCAATGCATGACTGTGGTGACCTTTGCTTTGGCAGATCAATGAGGCCCTGCAAGGTTGGATTCCTTGGTCCCGCATCCACTGCTGTGCCTTCAGACTGCATGAAGCCCTGTTGTTACCCCCTTCTCACAGCAGCTCTGAAAAACACAATTAGGCACCAATCTGCTCCTACCAAGCCAGCTTTGAGTAAGTCCAGCACGGCTACACGGAGTCCTGCAGACCCTCCTGGCTGGAGTTGGCAGGACGGAGGTCAGAAGGAGCAGTGATGACAATGACAACTGTCTTAACTTGGCAGGCTCAGGAAAGGGACTTGTCTGTTCAGACTTTAAGGCATTTGGGATGCTAACACAACAGAAGGTCTTATTTTGGTGTGATCTTACATGTTGAAGTTTGAAGAATGGTGCATATGGTGCATATGCTGACAATAAATATTTATATATAAATAAATATGTTTTTATAAACTGTATCTGCTCAATGTGTATTCATTCCTGCACAGATACACCTGTTTCATGCATCATATCAATTAGTGCAAACTGCTTTTGTGTTTGTCAGTTAAGAACACAAAAGAATAAGAACACTGAAAAGGAATGTCTTATCCTGTCTTATTTTCCAACATGTACAATAATTGTTCTTTTAATAACAATAAATTATTAATTCAAAGCTAATGGCAGTGAAAGTATAAAGTATAAGAGAAACCTACCGTAATACATTTCAAAGATTTTACCTGCTTTTATTTTGAAACTCATAAAATAAATACATTGATAAAAATGGTTTAACCGATGAGCTTTAATTTTTATTGATGATTTAGAATTGTAAATCCTCAACAAAAAAAGATTTTTGCTAAGATCATTTAGCAAACTGATGAGCCACTGACAGGTGGAAACCAGCACTATGAGCTGGGTAGGCTCTTGGTGGGTGATGTGAGGGTTGATAGTGTGCAAGAGTCAAATGAAGACCCCAAACAGGATCATGCCAGGAAACGGCGCAATATAGACCCTGAAACATACATTTTACCTCAATGAGAGTGATTTTACTTCTGCAGAAACTTATAAGTGCTTGAAATGGATTATTAAACAGTAAAACAGTTAGCTACCAACTTCCACAAAGACGTTATTGAGTATGTTATGTAAAGGTTTAACCAACATTTCAAAAAGGTGCCAACACAAATAATATGCATAATATATATAGAACAAAACCCAGCTCTGAAATGAGCTCCATTAGTTTTTCAGAAGATAGATAAAAGCAATTGCACCAATAAAAGAAGAAGCAATAGCAATGGGGAGAGGTATCAGTATATCTTAGAGCCAATCTGGAACCAAAGGCATTACACTGCATGGGTAAATATTTGGGAAAAAAATGTATATCCTCACACATCTTTAGGTAGAGGGAAAAAAAGAACCCTGGTGTGTATACATCGAGCAAATGTTACTGAGATGGAGGCATACATTTCATACATTTATGCTCCTAAATACATTTCATGAAGAAAATAAAAGAGAGTGAAGGAAGCTCATAAAGGTGGGATTCGATGAAAAGAACACTCTAACCCTTAAGACTCTTTCGAAGAGAGAAAATAAATGCATGCTTAAGTGAGTGGACAGCATTTAAAAAAAAATACATTAATAGACACTGCAAGGTCAGAGTAAAGGATTTCAAGTAACGAGTTTGATTAATGAATTGCTGCAATGAGAGACAGGCTAAATCAACTGATACATGTAGATAACTGTAGAGCGATGGCAACACAACCTCTGTTCAAGTAAAACTAAAAGCTGTGTGGCATTTAGACTCATTTTCGCTTGTTAACTTTTATAATCATTTCATGATTCAAATCAGTGACTCATATTATCCACTAATGAAGCCTAATCTGACTAACTAGCAACAAATTGCATTCTGATGCTCTGCAGCCAATTAAGGGTGTTAAGTCAGCGTGAGCAGTTAAAAAAACAACAGATTAATAAAAGCTCAACAGTCAGGTTTGTCTTTATTGATATGTGATTACTGCGGGTGTTTATTCATGGGGTCTCTATAAGTTGATTTTGGAGCTGATTTTAATTGTCTAATTTGTGAGATTATTAAGCAATAGGAAACCTCTACACCTGTTCTGTTTTTCTGGAGGCCTCAGTCCAATTTGATGTTGACACAAGCAGTTACATCCCAAATTGTTTAAATTAATTAATTTAAGGTATAAATCTTAACAGCTATTTTAAAGCCTAATTGCTCTACAGGCATACTTGCTGATTGTCAATACTGATCATGACACCAGCTTTAACAGTCTGATCATAACTCCAATAATCTGTTTATCAAGAACCCCATTTACTTTCAGGTTTCCAGCCCCAAAAATCTATTTTATCCCCTGTGAGATTATTTTCTGCTTTGGAATCTCACTGGCTTTGAGTTTTTATATTCAGCACATCCAAACAGCAGTTGTCCTCATTGGTCTCCAGGATTTTGTGTGTGATGGACACCAAGAGGTTTAAGCGCCTTTTAAAAAGATGATTTTACAGCAACTTTTAAAGGTCATACAACCTCAAAAATAAGACTGACAAACACAAAATTGAGACAAACACACAACTATACAATCTGTGCTGCAAATACAAGTGAAAACACAAAACAAACAAACAAACAAAAAAAAAAAAAAATGCAAGTAGGAAAAACGTTTGCAATTTTAGAAAAGCTGCAAATTAGCATCATGTAAAGGAAAAGCTCCAGGCCACTAGGGGCAGATGATCATCGACTCATATAGTACCAGAACATAGACGTTACTGCTAATGAATGTAAGTGGAAATGTCCCTTTGCAAAAACATAGAGTTCCATCCAGAGGAAATTTACAGGGAGAAAAAAAGGAATACTTTCTATTTGAACCTTTTTTATACAATCTTTCAGCATCCTGTTTATGCCTTTACTGACCGCCTGGTCCCCTATGAGATGACAGTCGTCTTCTCCTAGGGGTCTGAGTCATTTGAATTACTTTGATCAAGTCTGCATCTGCAATATATTGGCAGATGTTTTTGCTACTTGCAGCATTTTTCCTTAGCATGTGCTTTTGTGTTAGTATAATTGTTGTTTGCTAGTCCAATTTTTGAGTTTGCATGACCTTTTCAATTTGTTTTGAAATGATGAATTTACAAGACATTTGCAGCACTCAGCCACCATACTAAGTACCTTCTTTGTGTATTTGTAGATTGTTTTGATAAAATTACAGTCATAATTTTTTTGTAATGATTTCTTCAATCATATTGAAACAATTATTACCAAAAATATTCTCAGACCAACACTGCTGGATCAACAGTGCGGGTTTGTGGTTTGGTATGGTAATGGTATAGAAGGAGAATCATACAGTGAGTTCCAACCATTCAACTTTTTAACTCTCTGCAGGAGAGTTAAGTCCCAGGTGTTGGAAATATTGTAGAAACCCCTGAAATGCTTGATGAGTCGCAATAGTTGGGTTTAAAATAGTACCGGTATAACCTTTACTTTAAAATCTGTCCCAACATCACCTTTTTAAATCTGCATATGTCCTTTTTTATTTATTTAAGTTACTTGAATAAAGGTTAGGTTCAGGTCTCACGCCCAACAATGTTAGAGTAGGGGATAAACTAACCTTCTTCTTTGACTATTTGAGCTGATGTAACGAGTACATTTACCGGTATCTAATGTGAAATCAGTAAAGTTAATCAACCAATAAATCAATCAATCATGACAATATGATCAATTTACCTTTGTAAATGGTTTAGATTTGGTTTATAAATGATTAAATCCTTATCAAAACTAAATAAACTCTCATTACCATATATAAATTATGATTATTGTAAAGTGTTGAGTGAATGAATGGCCTTGCCCCTAATGTGATCCATCACTCAACACAAAAACATAACTATGAAGATGTGTGAATAAGATAACCTGTGGTCAGAAGGTGCACAACTTCTCTGGGACAATCATAATTCTCAGTCAAAGCAAATTTGACGGTAAATTTGACCAATTTACCACGGGATCTAAAGTCACTGTCAGAAATTAGCCTTTTCTCACCAAAACTGTCTGACATTACAACAACAGCATTGAAAATCTTATTATTCATCTAGATTTCACCTGTGCATCTTAAATTCTAATCTCATTGTGATTTAAAAAAAATCTACCTTTATATGGCTTTATCTATGTCATCAATACTTAACTTTGTTTCTTTATATTAAAAAAGCCTAACCAATGGTTTTTATGTTTTCTACTTTGCATCTTAGTGAAAGCTGTGAATTTTCCTTCAATTGTCGATTGAATAGGTCTTTTTAAAAATGTTCATATCACAGATACTTGAAAGCTTTAGGCCAAAGTCAGCCATAACTAGTGACAAAACACATCTTGTCTTAATATTATAAATTATCATGAAACTTTAAATAACACCAGTCCTATGGATGTATCTGTGTTTTAGAGATGAAAATGTATTTTTCCATTTTACTTCTTTAAAATGGCAAAAATACCATTAATTTATCAGTTAAAATGTTCTGTATGCATAATTCTGTCCATGTCTGGATTAAGGATCATCTTGCATTTACAATGGTGTCCTATTGATGTAGGAATGTAGTTATTTACCGTATGAACACATCACTTTCAATGTATTCTCAGGTGGAGCTATTACTCCATATTACAGCTGTGTATAGTTGGTGGGCAGAGGTTAACAAAAGGCCAAGACAAGCTTAAGCCACTGGCGTTGGCCACACGGGGAAATGTTGGCAAGCAAGCCAGAGAATAATCATGGGCTAATCTGATTTCCAGCTCTGATAATGGAGACCAAGCTAAATAAGAAAAATTCCAGGCAAATTTGTGCAAATGAAAAAGGATTCCTCCTGACATAATGGTACGGTGCAAGACAGCCTCTAATGAGCAATAATCTGTCTAAGAGCTTCTCCCTCTCTACTGTTTGG